CACTTTTACCAAAAATGACAAAATATTCACCAAGATTAGAGAATTGATGATATCATTACAAAATGAACAAATTTGAGAGTGGTCCACATGTAGTACCTATATATGTAATATCAAAGCAATTGGACTTGCGGTTTTTAACAAGAAGTCGAAAATATAACTTTTTACAAAAAAATGACAAAAATATTCACCAAAATTAGAGAATTGAAGATATGATCATGAAATGAACAAATCTGAGAGAGGTCTACCCAAGGTACATATACACCAAGTATCAAAGCATTCAGGCTTGTAGTTTTCAAGAAGAAGTCGAGAAAGTAAAACATTGACACGGACGGCGGACGACGACGGCCAATCACTCATATGATAAGCTCCGCTCGACAAAGTCGACAGCGAAGCTAAAAATGTATTAAATGATGTTCCCTGCGTCACACACCGTTGTACAAAACATGAATACAAATCACATTGAGAGAAAAATTATAAAAAATAAAATAAAAACTTTTCAAAACACTTTAAAAATAACATTACCATTTAAAATTGGATTTAAATGAAGAACTGTTTTCTAAACAGATGAGTTTTCAGACTACTTTTTAAAAACATTGATATTGATTGACTGACGAATGGGAAGTGGAAATTCATTCAACAAAAGGGGGGGGGCATAATTGCTAAAAGAACGCCAACTATATGTTTTTGTGGTACATTTTGTCTCTTGTCTTTTCAAAAACAAAAAATCAGTGTTAGATGACCTGAGGCTACTATGACCCGGTTCATAACAGTCAACCAAGTCACATATTAAATAAATTGGAGCAGAATTATTTAAAATTTGATAGACAGTCAATAGTACTTTAAAATTTATTCTTTCACAAATGGGAGCCAATGCAAATCATAAGGGGTAGATATAATATGGTCAGATTTTTTTTTTTTTTTTTACAATTGACATCATACACCTTCAATACAGTAATGTATTCACACCATATAGTAATATATTTGTGATAATCATTAATAGACTACACTCTCAGCCATTGATTGCATTCTCAACTTCAATTTACGAGGATAATTAACTTGACCATAAACAATCTCTGTAATTTACGTAAGTGCATACACTATTAATTAAGTGTGATATTATATTTTTCAGAATTCATAAGGACATCAAAAAAATCTTAAATAATCTGTGTCCAAAAGATGAAGATGGTTGCATGCATGCGGAAAATAATGGCGGTCTTGTCATTGTAATATCAATGATTACATCGTGTTTACGTTCTCTAAAGGTGAGTATGAACATGTCATTTAATAAATACTATTTGAATGAATCCGTGAAGCTGATTAACTTAGTGTTTACTCTGACATGTATTCAGTGTAATTTCTGTGCTTTACTTTCTCTTTGTTAGCAGCAACTATGATTTCACATTTGTTCTTCATTCCAGTTTTGTATTGCCAAGTTATCTGCATTGGAGTTGATGTCAACACTGGCCAAACATGTGACTTCTGAAATAGTACTGGACAGATTAATTCCTTATATGGTAGGTGCATTACTGTATTTGCATATATTTCTTATATAGTAAGGAACATTGCCGTATTTGCATACACTCCTTATATGGTAGGTTCATTTCTGTATTTGCATATACCAGTACTTCTTATATGGTAAGTGCATTGTT